AGACAATTAAAAGTTATAAAAACCAAGCATTAAAAAATAAAAAAGCTCCTCAGCGAGGGGCTGCATCGGGGCTGCCCTCCGGTCCCCCCGGCACGCCTCTTTGGCTCTGCCATTCAGTACAACCAAGGTCAGGGAATTGGGTAAACATTAACTGCCATTCGCAGCAAGGACCAGGTGGATTCTCTGCCCCAGGCCTCGACCAGCGGACTTGCCAGACCTTAAGCCGGAAAGGCCTCGCGCACCCACCCCGCGGATACAGATTTCACCTCTCTGCTGTGCGGTGGGAAAGCTGTCCCTCACGGCCCTGTAACCAGAGCAAAGTAGGGCTGCAACAGAGTTGGGGCACAGGTCAGGCCCATCCAGGGAGGGCACCAGAACTTTTTGCTGCCCAGTCCCCTGCCACACGACCCTCACCAAGCAATCTGCAAGAAGCCCTCTGACGTGGAGAGGCAGCAGGATTCTGCCTGGTGGGCAGGCTCGACTCCCTTCATGGCGCCCCTCGCCTGGTCTGCACAAGCAGGAGGGGCACGTTCTGGGCACTGTCCACAAGCTCTTTATAGCAGCTTTTACTGTGGTGACAGACCAAGGAAAGGGGAAGAAGGAAATCTTAAAAAGGATTCCCAAATGGATATCCTGCTGTTCAGACATACCAAATAACAGAAACACAGACAGCGGCAACACCGCTACACATTTGGGTAGGTGAAATGAACTGCTGCGTCCATAAAACTGAGTGAATCCAAAAGAACTGGCACAGGAAGGTTTTACGAGAGCAGCGTAGATTGTTCAGAGTGAGGACTTTTTAAAACAAAAACATTCAATTATTTCTTTTAAAGCATATTTTAGCCAATTAAAGACAATTAATAGATTGTCTCAAGGTCCTTTTGGCAAATTTGCGAATGCCCGCCTTCCAAACAAGCAAAAAATGGATAGGAGAGGTAAAAAGTGAGTGATTAAAAGCTCTGCTTTTACTTCCAGTGCCCAACCCAATGCAGAACCCTGCCAGTGCCAGCACTGAGATTGTGGCAATAACTTGAGCACAAAAGTTTGTTCAGTGCAGGGGAATGAAAGCCAGGAACCCACTGCGCTGTGCCAGTACCTGGCATCTCTCTGTGCGGTGCAGAGGGAGAGGGTTCAGGCGGAGGGGAAGGGCTTGGGGGGCCTGGGAAGCTCCAGGGTCTGAGCTGCCAATTTCAAGGAGGGATGAGAGAGAGCAGGGAGCGCCCTGCCCCTGCCCCTTCCTCCTCCTCCTCCCAGGCTCCGCTCTGCCCCCTCTCTTCCTAGGGAGGGAAGGGAGCAGCAGAGCAGCTCTTTGGGGGGGCTTCTGAAAGCCCCCCGCTGCAGCAGGCCCGATAGCCCAGGGCAGTCTTGCGTTTCCCCCACAAACAGCCTGGGCTGCAAGACGCCTGCCAGGCCCCATAGCTGGCACCGCTATTTATAGGACCCCGGTCAGCCCCAGATTCCCAAACGAGCGTCTTCGCTCCCAGACAGGTGTCTCTGCCACACGGGGCCTCCTTTCATTTCCTGGTGTCGGTAATTGTGGCTTCGGATTTGAACCCCGGCCAAGAACGGAGGAGCATGTCTGAAAGGTAGTCCATGGGGGCCAAGAAGAGTTACCTCTGTGATTACAGAGTTAGAAATCAACTATTCTGCCAGCACTCTTCCTCCCCTGCCCAGGTAGCGGCCACCGACTCTTTTAATTTCAGGGAGGGTGTTTGGCACGAATCAGAAAGACCCACAGGGAGAGAAGGAGGGGAGCAAAGAGGTCCAGCAAGCCGCCTGATGCTCGTACTTGTCTACTGAGTCTCCCTGATTTTCTCACGCAGGAGCAAGACCCTCTTTGATCCAGCACAGAAGGAGCAGGTGCAGGAAGGTGGACCTCTGTGTGGGAGGCCACTAGCCAGCAGCTGGACATTAGTCACTGGTGGGGGATCCCCTTCAACTCTACTGAGCCGTGCAGCAACAGTGTGGGGGGGGGGTTGGTTGGCATCCTCCTCATCAGTGTTCACGGGAAGATGTCCAACCAAGGTTGCTCTGGAAGTTGGCTAGAACTGGTTGGTCAACCCGGAGAACTTCCGTGTGGGATCTCTGCGCCACTCCCAATCAGCTCTGGGCTTGTGCAATTCTGTTGGCAGCTGAGCCAATTCAGTTTTGGCTTCGCTACAGGGAACCCAAAATTGTATGAAACCAGTTTTCCATTGGGGGAGTGAAAATGGTGGCAAAGTGGAAGTCATGTCGTGAGCTGCCCAGAGTTGTTTTCTAAGATGGGCAGCCATACAAATCTTTCAAATAAACAAATACAGTACAAGGCTAAGTTTGGAGCTGGAAGCAGCTGGGCAGACAGCTAGAGAGAGGGACGGTACAGCTCAACCAGCCATTAAACAAGATGGGGGAAGGGCCACAGGCCGTTTCTGCCTCAGCTGCCCCAGCAGAGCATGTGCCACGGTCTACTTCCCTAGGAGCTGCTCCTGGCCCCTGCTCCTCTGCACGTGACGTTTGCCGCTGCCACCAGCACCACGTTCCCTGTTGGTTTTGGTCTGCTAACACAAGGGCTTTGCTCTGTGCCTCACTGACCTCTGTGGCTTTGGCCAAACTGTCTCTCAGGGCCTGGAGCTCCCTGTCATGCTGCTCCTTGAGGTGGTCCACCTCTCGGTCGTGGCTGGACACTTCTTCCTTCAAGGCTCCCTTCAAGGCAGTCAGCTCCCGCTCCCGCTTCCTCAGGACCTCTTCTTGCTGGTCTCTGAGTACTAGGAGCTCCTGCAGGTCCTGCTTCAGTTGCATCAGTTCCTAAACTCGGGGGCAGAGAGCGAGAAAGGGGCCTGTTCAGAAGGCTTTGGGCAGGCTCCCGTGGGAAAGGTCTGCCACGTTCTTCAGCTTAGCTCAGGGTCCTTTGAGGCAGGGCAGCCCCCAGGCTCCCCTTTTGCTTCAAAACTCAAAGCTCAGGAATGGTTTAGACAGCAGCAGGTAGGTCCTGCTCACTAGCCATTTTCCCAAACAAAATCTCTCCACCAGTTTTCCTTTTCTAGAGAAAAAAATGTACCAGCTCCAGGGAGAAAAGCAACAGGGGTTTAAGCTGAAATGAAACCAATGACTTGGAGGGGGAAAAAACTGTTCCAGCACCAGCGCTGTGCTGCGCTGCAAAGTAAAACGTCAACAAACTAGACTCCCGCACCCCGTCTTAACTGGCCCTGGCGACAGCAACAGCATGGGTCTCCGCTGGGGAATGCCCGCCCTGATGATCCATAGCAGCTGCTAACCCCCAACCTATGAGAGGACATGGGGTGAAGCAACAGGATGTGTCAAGTATCTAATCTACGGACTTCCAGAATGTAAACAGCTGCCCAAATGAGAGAGGGAAAAGAGAGTCCGCAGAAACCATCGACAAATGCTGCTTCTAGCCATCTTGCATAAAGGGCCCTTTTCTGGTCTTTCAGCTTGCTGGTGTCTGCCAGAGGAACACCCAACTGGGTTGGAGCGTCCTCGTTACTACAAAAACCTTACAATCGTCAATGACTATAAATTCTTTAGCCTTTTGGCCACGTGAAAAAGATCAGAACAAAGAATTTCCCAATTACATGCAAGCTGAACAACATTTCAGAAAGCTCTTCAGGGGATGGATAGAGAAGACCTTCACCTCAATTAGCAACTCCTTCTTGCTGTCTTCCACGTGCTTTGCACTGTCCAGTTCATCGTGCATCTCCGAAAGCTGATCCTGCAAGTCCCGAATCTCTGTCTGGTGCTGCTCCCGTTCCATTTTCACTTGAAAAAGCCTCAAAGGGAGGAAGAAAACAGTGTCATTCATAAAAGAAAGCCCTCAAAAGCTTCAGGAAAGTAAATTTGTTAGGTGGAAATAGCCTACAGTGGCAGAAGGGGTGCAAAAGAAGTAGCAAGAGAAGGAAATGAGGAGGATAAAGAAGGATAAAAAGTGCAAGGACAAAGAAAAAAAAGAAAAAAGTAAGCATATAGTAAAGAGAAAAAAAAGAAGTGACTTCCAACCTTCATCACAACAAGTATAAACAAATTTAGTGACTCTTCACCTCCTCTAAGGATACAAACATTTATCTCTTCATCCGATATCCCATCTCTTGTCTATAAACAAATCCATAAAGGCATCATCTTTTCTGTCCTGATGTCTGCAGAAAGTCCATAAAGGGTTGCCAGTACAATGTACAGTGGTACCTCGGGTCACGAACGCTTCTGTTCACGACCAATTCGGGTCACAAACAGCACTGTTTGCAAAATTGTGCTTCCGTTCGCTAACGCCGGATCGGGTGACAAACAGGATCCGTGGCCATTTTCTCTGCCGTGACACGTGGTCGTGGCTTCCTGTAGGGAGGGGGACTCTCCCTCCAAGCAATAACTGCCTCCCCACCTGCCTTCCTGTCCGCCACGCCAGAAGTCGCATCGAGCAAGGTTAGCGTTCTCTCTCTTCGTACTGTACTTTGTGTCATATTTTTGTGGTTAAAAAAAAAAAAAATACATATGGTTCAGAACAGATTAACCGTAATTATATTGAACCTTATGGGAAAATTTGATTCGGGTCGCAACCAAAAACGGTTG